CACGCATAATCAAGTCAAATTCCCACATAATACCTATGCAATCTCAAAACTTGAATCTTTTTAATGAAGTTGGGTAAACGCGGTATATTCCGATACTTTAAGGACGCATCGAGAAATGAAAAACTATAAAAAAAAACCGTATGCGTTACATAAGTTCTGTTGCCTTCACATGACTCTCAAAACACTTCACTGCGCGTCAGCAACAATGAAACGTCACAAAATGTTGCCATATTTATTAAAAAGCCTTTAGAATGGAAACCTACCAAATCCCTATATTCCGTCATTTTGCGTGGCAACATCCGACACGTGGTGAGTCGTATTGCGTCAGCGCTTCAAATTTAACTGATACGTATTGCCGACATCCACGTGTTCGAATTCTGTTTGCTGTGTGAGCTGTATTGGGATACAACACGGCTTTGAATTAGAACAATAACGAATATTGAACACTACTTAATTACGTTTTAATTAACAGCTATTAGGCTTTTAATTAACTAAATTTCAATTTTTGTACAAAGCTTTGAACGATCTGTGTGTGTCCAATTGACCAATTCAAGTTGTGTCGGAATTAGTTTTCATGTGTCGAAATCCAACATCTCAACTTGATCATCTATTAATTTATTTACGACTTGAAATCAGCGAATACAAGTATACTTAAAGGATTCTTAATATATTCACAGACGTATTTAAAAGTCTCAAACCATAATATTCTTCCTATAAAAATAGTTATTCACTATTTGGTAGAGCCATGTCAACTGTCAAATTTGACACATTTTTTGATGATCTCACCACGTGGCATGCATTGTCTCTCTTTGGATCTCAATATTTTCCCGCTAGATGGCCAAGATCCAAGACCTAGTGTTTTTGCAGTATTTCGACACGCAAATGTATGACGTCACCATTTCAACCATCAATGAACGCATGGAACTAAAACAAAGCTTAATATAAAGGAAAAACTAGAGAAGTGACGAAATTACCTACGATGTCAGAATATACCGCGTTTACCCTTGTTCTAGTTCCAAGTCCAGCCAATACAGCATTCTCGAAAAATATTCTGCATAATTTGAATTTTGTAAGAATTTTGTTATAAACTATGCTTGCTATGCATCGGCATTTTGATGACTGCCGGCGAGCGGCGACATCTCAAAGATTGCCGCTTGCTGGCAATGCATATTGGATACTATCAGTCACCAATGTTTTTGGTCTACAAATGAATATATTGACAATGCAATAAAATAGTGTTAAAGCAGACTTTTTTCGACTCTTATTCAGTTTATTTTTGAGTCCTATTAGCAGACCAGTAATGTACTATATGGATGGGTACCACCCGTACCAGTACCACTAACTAGGTAGGCTATGCACAGTAATGCACTACAGTCTACAGCATCATCACGCAACATGCATGATAAATTTATTAAAATATTGAGTAAATAAGGAAATCAATTAATTCTAAAAATCTCTGGTTCGCCAATATGCTTACTTGGTTAGCGTGTGGATTGGCAGCAGCGGTGGATTCTTGTACTGCAGCCCAACATTCAACGATAGTTAAGAGTTTTATACACCCGCGCGATTTTCTCAAATGGCAATTTTGGACGCCGTTGTCCGAAACTATGGAAATACAAAACTGTTGCCATCAACGCTTTCAAAAATTAAACCTTATAACCCATCTCTATTACTTTTTACTATTCAATAATTTAATTAAGAATCAACATTGGCCGAATTGAAATCTTTATAGTAATATATATTTCTCCTATGATCTCCCCAAAATTCCTTGCTGGTATTTGGAGGCTATGGGAGATCAGAAAGCAGGTTACCAAATGACAATCATACTGGAATACGACGCTCCGAATATTCAATAATAATTCTCAAGTATGTAAGAGCTTTACAACACTTGAAAATTTTAAATGACATAAGTACATACAAAGGTATCATATATACAGTACGAAATCGAAACTTAAAATTAAGCCGAGACCAACTTCAACATCCTGAAAAATACGGTGGATTACAAATTGGTAGCTGGAGACTCATCTTTGATGATGGCTCTAGAGCCTCTGTTATAGCCAGTCTTGTAGTATCGCAGCACCGCATGACGATGCTGGTGCGGGCGTTCGACGTCGTGCGGGGATGGTTAATTATGAGCCTCCCACTGCCCCGCATATGGTTCTTTGGCCCTAGCGAATCGACACTTCATGACATTAGTTTCATGCAGTGGTCCCTGCTTTTTACATGGGTTATTTTTCATGATTAAATTCTTGATTTTCTTAGTTATGTGGAAAATTAGGAGTTTTATTTGGTCAGTTACTGTTGTTATTTTGCAGAGCTCATGTTATTTGGCGCATTTGAATTGAGGACTCTTTCATATGTCCTATAGTATAGTATAGTATCTTCGGCATTAAATAAATAGGCCTGGATAGGCCTGTCGCCGATTCTTGTACTTTTCTTGACTAGACTGGCCTTACGGACGGAAGATATCAGTTGTTCCGTAGGGTACGAGGCATTTTAAGACTGAACATATGCTCATGCATGGCCTTGTCTAGTCTGTTCTTGAACGCGTTCATACTCGGAGCGTCAACAATATCTTCAGGGAGGCTGTTCCACATGTCAGTGACTCGAAGCGAGAAGAAATGTTGTCGCGTGGATAAGTTGAACCGC